CAATGATCCAGAGTCTAACCTCAAAAACAAGGTTTTTTGAACTATTTATAGAAAATAAAAACCTAATTAAACAAGGACTCTATTTGCTGGAAATCTGCCAAAATGCGGCTGGGTCGACGGACCTTGCGACGGATCGTCGTGGTCACGATGGATCGTCATGGACTCCGTCGTCCCATACTTATGCAATTTCTTCTACTGCTCTCTTCATTACCCTCGACGGCAAGTATGACGGACCGTTATAGGCACAACGGTCCGTCGAGGGTCTTCGTTCCAAAACACTTCAACTCTTGGAATATGGGTACTGGGATTACTTCTCTGAACTTCATGACGAACCTGCAAGACGGTCCGTCGACGGACCATCACAAGCTTCGAAACCCCACACTTTGTCAGACTTCCCCATCTTCCTTCAGCACCTGCACTATGCTGCCACCTACGGACCTTCACAAGCACGACGGACCGTCACAAGCTCCGTAGGTGGTCTCTTCTGCATTTCTTTGCTTAAAATCTCTGCATTCATCTTTGGACAGATTTCCTGCAAAATAAAGAGAAACTTATATAAACATTAGCACAAAAAGTCTTTTGGACACACTAAACTTAAGGAAAATGTATTAATAATATCGTGAAACCACGGTATATCACTGGTCACGACCGAATCCGTGTCATGGGGATGAAGCGGACCTCATTATCTACTATAGCAGATTTCATCGTTCAGTTTCGTGCATAGGAATAATGTGAAGTCGAGAAAAAAAGTCATCGATTTTTACCTTTTTAAGATATTTTATCCTAAAAATCATTACGGAGTTATATAATTAATGGACCTTAACGTGTAGGAAATTAATTTTTTCATAATTAAACCCTCTCATTTCCTAAATTTCTACGCGAAAGAACTTCAAGAAACTCCAAAGTTATGATAATAGTTATATCTTGAAAATTAAGTCTAATGGTTTCATAATGACTTTTTAATAGCTTTTTAATCATTTTTTGATGAATTCATGGAAATGATTATTTTATGAACCCTAGAATTATGAACTATGATTTTTCCCTATATACATTTTATGGTGTTATCATATGTCTACTTGATCAAAATATTATGATATGATATATGTTTCTCTTGGATGTAAAATTATTATATATGAATTATAGTCGCATGACGTAATATTATGAATGAAGTTTGTGAAATGTGGTCCTTGAATGTTTTGAATATGAGCCTTCGAGCTAACCCATGATAACATGAGCTTAATGGAGTTAAATATTTAACTGACATGACATAAATCTAAATGGTAAATTTCTGAATTATGTTTATTGACATAGGTCAAGGATCGTACCATTGATTCGGGCTACTCCTTTATGTACCTAATATTGGAAAATTATGGATCCACATGATATGAACACATAGTCGCATACCTAGCAAGGTATGTGATTACTTAACGGATTAGACAGAGATTAAACGGCATGTGTTCATATGGCGGTTTATGTCTTTTACACTATTAGACGCTCATAATGAACTAAAATATGATAGAGTAATTTAAAAGACTTCATTTCTTAACCTTTATATAATACTATTATGACTATGTTAGCTGTTTTTATTAATCTTATATGTATATTACTATATTACGGTTCATTTCATCATTTTACATTTAGTACTATTGCAAATGTACTTACGTTTCTCTTGTCGAGGCGCTGCAACTTTTTACTGATGCAAGAATTGATCTACATACGCGTTATCAGATCGCTCACTAAGTTTCATATCTTGTGTTATTAATGAGCCCTCTCTATTTTCATGGGGCTTAGTCTATATCTTTTCCATACTTTCTGTTTATATAGTTATGGTATATTTCAGGGCCTTGTTCTGGTAGATAGTACTCAATTATGTTTAGAGGCATCATAATATTTTAGTATGAGTCTTACTGTCATTTAACGGCGATTTAAATTCCTTAACTTATATTTTATGTAAAGCATTTTATTTTACAAAACTTAACTCTATCAATACTTTTAAAAAAAACTAATCTATGGAAAAAAAATATTTTTAATGTTTCGAAACAAATTAAAATATTTTTTTATTTTTTATTTTTTAAAGAAAAGTTTAAATAATTTTATTATTAATAATAAAATTAGGACTCTTCGATTTTGAAAATCTAAGTGATATTTTATTTTTAAAGACATTGAGTCGCCCTTGCCTTAATATGAGTGTTGTATTGAAACTTAAACTCTATAACAATCCTAAGTATAATAGTAATTCCCATCCTCCAAGGTAAAATTACTAGTAGTGTAAAGAATTAGCCACAAGGTAACAAAAGAGAGGTGACGTGCCAAAAGCAACTAGCTAGCGTAGTTTGAGGGTACACAGCAATGATGGATATGCAATGTGTGGGTGTCACAAATATATATAAGCAAAGGCCATCCAAGCCTCTAGCTTTGCCTTTAACACCTCATCATCCTCCCTTCGGTTCCCTTTATATATATATATATGAATAAAAATTTCTCTCTTTGTTGAAAATTGAATTTCTTTCAAGAAACAACATCCCATCAAATCACCTATTTTTCTGCTTATATTGTTATCCAAAAAAGTAAAAATAAAAGTGGAAAAAAAAAATCTTTGATCAGTCTTTTTGATCTGATACCCACTTGGTTACTCATCTTGTTTGATCAAAATTTTCTTGAAAAAATTCATATGGGTTTTAAGGAATCTTTGGGGCTCTTTCTCATGTAATAATTTTATGTTTTTTTCTTTTTCATTGGATCTTTTTTTATGATCAAAATGTACAGACTTTAAGAGTTACCCATCAAAATTCTCACTTGTGTGTTGATTTTGATGATGAATTGAACTTGTAGCTAGGATCATCTGATGATCTTTAGACCTTTAGCATAATAAAGATTGAAACTTTATTATGACAGATTGATGGATGATCAATTTTGTTCTGTGGGGTGGGGTGGAATAGGAATATCCTCTGTTGAAGAATTGGTATTTTGGTATCCTTGACGTTACAGTTATCTTTGGCTTTTTGTATCTGCAAACCTTGAGTTGGGTTTTCTTGTAGAATTTGTCTTTGTTGCTTGTTGCTGTAAATTACTGTTTTTTCTTGACTTTTTATGGTTTTGAATGCAAGTCCACCAATTTGTTGAGTGATGATGATTTTCTATTGTTTGTAGGTCTGAGGCTTGAAATTTTTGTGATCAGCTTCTAATTTAAGGTAAAACTTCAAGATTCTTGAATTGGTACTTGTTAAAAATGGAAACTTTTTGGTCGATGATTGTTGGAATGTGTTCAGAGAGTAATTTGGTTTTTCTATGTATGTGCATTTTTGGGTTTTTTTTTTTATAGTGATTTAGAAATCCTCCCATTGCTTAATTTGGGCACTGCAGAAGCTAGCAGTGCCCATGGACGCCTCGACGAGTGGAACCTCGAGTGTTCAATACCATAACATTGCTGAACAACCTATTGCTGCTACTATTGTAAACTCAACATTTCAAAGACAAGTGAGGCACTGTTTTGGGAATGCGACTCCTGGTGAATTCCCATTGTCAGCTAACCCGTCTATCGTTCTTCATGTGCTTACTGGATGTAATTTAGATCCACAGGACCTTGCAACTCTAGAGGCAAGTGTTTCTTTACTTGGTGTTGTATATATTATGTCATTTATTTGGCTTAGAATTGATGGTGCTGCTCATTTCCTTTATAATGTGTTTTGCAGGCTACTTGCTCATTCTTTCGGCAGCCTGCAAACTTTGCACCCGATAATGAGCTCTCCTTAGCGGAGTTGGCAGCTCTTGATATGTGCCGAAAAAGAGCTATATTTAAGCCAATGACTCAGGAGCAATGTCATGATCTGAAGCAAAAATGTGGGGGCTCCTGGAAGCTTGTTCTAAGATTCCTGCTAGCTGGGGAAGCATGTTCCAGGCGCGAAAAATCACATGCAGTAGCTGGCCCTGGTCATAGTATTGCTGTGAGTTCAAAAGGAGTAGTGTACTCTTTCGGGTCTAACAGCTCAGGGCAGCTTGGAAATGGAACCACAGAAGAGGAATGGCGGCCTCACCCGATTAGGTTCCTAATTTTCGATATATATACCTCAAGTTGTATGGCTAAGTGAATTGAGAAACGCAGGGAGTTTAATAGAAGCTTTCTATTTTCCAGATCACTTCAAGGCGTTCGTGTTATTCAGGCAGCTGTAGGGGCTGGCAGGACTATGCTGATCAGTGACACTGGGAAGGTGTATGCATTTGGGAAAGAATCATTTGGCGAAGCTGAGTATGGTGTCCAAGGAAGTAAAGTAGTTACAACTCCTCAGCTGGTTGAATCTTTAAAAGACATCTTTGTTGTACAAGCTGCAATTGGGAATTTCTTCACTGCTGTATTATCAAGAGAAGGAAGGGTTTATACATTCTCTTGGGGAAATGAAATTAAACTTGGTCATCAAACTGAGCAAGCTGATCTGGAACCCCGTCCATTATTAGGCGCATTAGAGAATATTCCAGTGGTACAAATTGCAGCAGGATATTGCTACCTTCTTGCTCTGGCTTGTCAACCTAGTGGCATGTAAGTCATCTTTTAGAAAGTGTTACACTGATATACGCATGTTGATCACTCAATGTCCAACCTTAGCGAGCGATTATTTCAAATACTCTTACAAGAATCTGAATGTTTTCTCCTTAAGCATCATATTATGAGTACCATATCAATAAATGATTTCTTTGACGTGTTTTTTTTGGCCAACATCAGGTCTGTATATTCTGTTGGTTGTGGATTGGGTGGAAAGCTTGGCCATGGAACACGAACTGATGAAAAAGTCCCGAGGTTAATTGAACAATTTCAGACTTTGAATATTCAGCCGGCAGTTGTTGCAGCTGGGGCTTGGCATGCTGCTGTTGTTGGGAAAGATGGAAGGGTCTGTACATGGGGTTGGGGCCGCTATGGGTGCTTGGGTCACGGTAATGAAGATTGTGAATCAGCTCCTAAGGTAGTGGAAGCACTAAGCAACGTAAAGGCTGTTTATGTTGCTACAGGGGACTATACAACTTTTGTGGTTTCTGATGACGGAAATGTTTATTCATTTGGTTGTGGAGAATCGTCTAGTCTAGGACATAATACTGCTGCTGCTGAAGCACAGGTTTGGCCTTCTCATAATATTGTTTTTTCGTCCACAATGAGATGCGGAATATAGTTTTAGATGTCTGTTTGCCTTGCTTACTCACTGTTTACGGAATGACCCTTTGAAATTTCAGGGTAACAGGCACTCAAATGTTTTATTCCCTGAGGTTGTAACAACATTGAAGCAGCTGAATGAAAGAGTGGTGCAAATAAGTCTGACTAATTCAATATACTGGAATGCCCACACATTTGCATTGACAGAATCTGGTAAGCTATATGCATTTGGCGCGGGCGATAAGGGACAGCTAGGTGTGGAGCTCAGTGTCAACCAAACCGAAAGGGCAATACCAGAGCGGGTTGACATTGATCTCAGTTAAACATAGGCCATTATTATTCCTGCTCTTTCACATATTTATGCATTGCTAGTTTATCATTCTCATTAACCTCATCGTGCATTATATCTGCTGTTCAATTTCCATCTGTAAATAGAAAACAAAACGATTGTGAAGAAGCATAGGTTTTTAGGATCTGCACAAGTTTAACCTCCTAAGAATTTGTTGGCTCTTGGCCACAAGCAAGTAAATAGTTGATACAATTTGTTAAGGTTGATTTTTCACTTATTTGCTCCTCATTTTAACCTTTCGATTCTATCTTTTTCTGGTAGATTGACAAAACGTAGTTACATGTATGTTCTAATGACTCATTCTGAACTCACGGACTTTAGATCCTAAGTTCGCCTCCAATGCACACTACAATCACTAGGATTATGCTGTAGATGCGTCGACATTGGCTTCGACGATTGAGAGGGTTGGGTTTGGAATGCTAGAGAAAATTTGTGAATTTATTTAGTAAGAAGGGGATTTTAACCATTTGAAGTTTTTGTGCTCGCTCTTCTTTTGGGATGTATCTTGTTTTTCTAATTGTTATCCTCTTGTTTGGTTTTTTTTTTTGGTTGCATTTTCGACTTGGTACGGAGGATGGGATAAATAAGGATATCTCTTTCGTGATAGACTATTTAATCCCACCTTATTATGGGATAGTTATATCACCATTTTAGTACATATGGTGGGATAAAATGGTCCTAGAATTAGCTAATATCTCTCATCAAACATGGGAAAATTTAATTACAAAATGTATTCTTATATTAAGTATCAAACAATCTATTCATGTTATATGATATCATCGGAGGTGAATTCGTGATTTAAAATCGATGGCTTCAACCCATAACATCCGTAACACTAAATTATTGGTTATGCTTTAACAATAATGAGTTTATATTAATGCTTGTTGATAATTTTATGAGTTTTTTTAAATAAAAAATTATGTTCTGCTTTGGAAGCATTGGATCTACCCCGGTATGCATGATGAACTTTAAAGTGGTAAATAAACGGTTTGACTATAGGTTTAAAGTATGAAACTTTTGAGTTTTTTAAGTAGTGATTTTGGAAATTTGAAGTTATGTTTGGACATGCATTTTACTTGGAAAAAAATTGAAATAGAGTGGAAGTCTTAAAAGACCCAAAAATTGGTCTAAGCTAGTTTTAATAACTTTAAAATTGAACCTTTGAATAATTAATTTTATGATCAAATAAAGTATTTGAAGATAGATTTTAAAAATTTAGCGAAGTAAAATTTATCAAGAGAAAATATAGTTTAAACTTTCAATTTCAATTGAGACAAAAGAGATGAAGCGATTTCTGTTGGTATACCCTCTCTCAAATTATGTGATACATTTTTTTTCGTTAGTTTTCAAAAGAAATGACTAAATTCCTTATTTGATGATATACACAATAACACTATCAATATTTTACATCTTTTTTAGTTAGCATCGAAAATAAATGAAAAAATTGTATGAAATAGCAAACATTTAATTCATATTAAATGCAATAACTATAGTTTACTTTATTTTGGATTCGCAGCTACTGTTCCACATAATTTGCTATCTATCTTTTTATATAAAGAGGCGAAAGCTATATTTGTATAAGGATATTTACAAATCAAAGTAGAATTTTCGTTCTTTTCTCTCCCAGTTACACGATTTCTTCCTAAATTCTCTCATACAAATTAGTTTCCTCTCAACCAAATTGTTTTTGAATTTTGAATTTTCATTCTTTTCTCTTTCTATTTACACAATTTTGTCCTAAATTCTCTCACCCAGATTAGTTTTCTTTCACCAACATTATTTTTGAACTTTGAATTGTCGTCATTACCATCTCGATTGTGCTATTAAAATTTCAATATCGTCAAACACATGTTGAAATCAACTTTATTTTTTTTCTTTGTATTTTGCTTAATAATTTTTAATTTTTTTCATGAATTTTCATATACATATACATAGTCAACTAATATAAACTATTATATATATTATATACACATTACACATATACATATCTATACAACTGAAAAGCACAACAAAAAGAACATATACATGTACAAATTACAACTAATACTATTTTTTATTTGCATATTGATTTCACATATACACTTATACAAAGAACACATATATATACAAATTACAGTTATATGTATATGTACATTGATGGACAAGCCTAACAAAAAACACATATACATATACAAATACATCTAATATGCAAACACAATTATCATAATTAAAAACGAACATGACTAGATACATATACAAATATAGAAAAAACTGAAACGTATTATATACAAACTATCCAGTTGTATAAATGAATTTATATAAAATTGATCAATTTATATATAAATTGAATGCATATAGAGAATTGTACAAATCAAAAGCTCCATAACAAACATAAAAAATTTACTATAAAGCACAATTATACAAATTATAGTTATAACATACAAATATAATTTTTGTGTTTGTTAAACCTAAAATTTAATAAAAATAATATTCAATTCCTTATTAGACTACACATGCAATAATAATAGGGAAACTTACATAAATATACTATAATGAAAAAATATTTACCATTTATAGCAATAGCATTTTTTTCACTTGATCACTTTTTATTCATTTATAATACAAGTTTAATACATATTACAAAAAACAACTTATTATTCACATATAATAGAAGTTTTAATGATGGATAATGTATTTATCACACATTTTAATACACTTGTAATATAATGTGAATAATTTTTTATCAAACAAACATAAGATATATTTCAAAAACAATTATAATTCAAATATATTGCATACATAATTCATTTTTGATACATATTACAAATTTATCGCAGTATTGCTATAAATGTTAATAAACAAAATATATCGCTAAAATCAATAATTATTTTTAAAAATATATTAGTTCATGTTATTTTTCCATAATAATATCATTATTTTAGGTTTACTTATTTGGCAAAAAAAAATTATAGAAGAATACACATTTATTTTTAAAAAAGTTCATTTTATTTTAAGGGTCAATTTGGAATATAGTAGTCTTTTTTTATATTTTTTTATATTTGGTGTCAGAAAAATTATATTAGACAAATTATATCAAATAATAAAAATTAAAATTAAAAGTAAAAATTTAAGGAATCCCATAGTGTAATTCAATAATTACATTCTGTCCCGACAAATTTAGTATTTACAAAAAATCCCTTAAATTTGTAGTTCCGTGATACTTTAGACTGTAGTGATACATGGTAAATGATACATGGTAAGTTTAAACTGTTGAGAAAAAAAATGGGGAAAAAATGGTACAATTAATGTTGTTACTAAAACAGCTTAATTTTAAGGTAACAGATCATTAATCACCATAAAATCAGCACGTAATTGGATATTGATTTCAAATTTTGAAAATCAAAATTATATCATCTATTTTGAAAACATTTTTTATGAACAATCATGGCGGAAAGAAATTTAGTCGTCAGTGGAAACACAGATGTGGGTCCTCAATTGCAAGCTTAAGCA